ATCTGTTCACTGTTTGGATTTTTTTTTTTGTAGTTAATTTTTTAGTGCTCTCCCAAACAAAAGAATATTTTCAGGTTTTTGGGGTCATGTTGGTTGTTACGATAATTTCGTATCTCAAAGATTACAACCAAACCTTGGGATTGATACAATTTTAATGGAGAAAGTACATAAAATTCAACTACCTTGGACAATAGCCAAAAAAAAAAAATTAAAATCAAATACCTTGGGATTAATACATTCAGTGGAGAAAGTACAAGAAATTCAACTATTGTCACCACAACTACAACCCTCCAAAACAAAAAATTGAAAAATACACCATCCGTTGAAGACAATCACAATACCTAGATGGGAACTACTTGAAAATAAAGAAGCTCAAAACTGGGGTGGTGTTATGATCCTTTTTCTTTTCTCTTTTTTTTTTGGGGTGGGGTGGGGTGGGGTGGGGGTGGGGGGGGGGGGGGAAATTTGCCAGTTTAAGCACGATAAATGTATTACGATTCATGTTCAAATTACTAAATAAAATCTAAAATTCATATCAATAATATATCAAAGCAAAGTATAATGTTTTTCCAAATCTCAAAAACTGTCTATATTGATTTATGCTAAGTTTCTCAAAAATTTCCTTTCACTATATATTTGAAAAAGCAGAAACACCCATTTGGGTTTGAAAACTTTACAATTTGCATTTCTTCGTATTTTAGTGAGGTGCAAATCTTTCCTTATTAAAAAAGAGACAAGGTCAACTATATGATTATTCTAACAAAATGGGGGCATTGTATAAAACCAAAGAAATGCATTTTTTATTTATTTATGGGTTAATCTCATTTTGCACCCCGAAAGATTGTTCGAATCTCAATTTACACCCTCAAAGATCAAAATCTCAATTTATACCCTCAAATATAGAAATTTGTATCAATGTGCACTCCCAAAGATCGAAAATCTCAATTTGCACCCTCAAAGATAGAAATTTATATCAATGTGTACCCCAAAGATAAAAAATCTCAATTTGCACCCTCAAAGATAGAAATTTGTATCAATGTGCACCTAAAATTAAATTGATAAATTATACCTAAATCCCTCATATTTGTCAGTTAATCATTTAGACCTCTTCACATTTAGAAATATTACTCCTACATCTTATGACATTTGTGCACGTATAACACGTAACCCATTTTCATTGATATCTATTAATCTAACCGTTAAAAAATATAATTTTATTCTAATAAAAAATTATAATTTCATATTACCCTTTATTTTATAGGTTCAATATATTATAAAATTCAAAATCTAGTTTACCATTTAAATGTCTAATAAAATATAAATATTTATATAATATTTTTCATATTACCTTTTATATAAATATCTATATTTTATTAGACATTCAAATGGTAAGCTTGATTTTCAACTTTAGAGTATATCGAATCTACAAAATAAAAGGTAATATAAAATTATAATTTTATATTAGGATAAAATCATATTTTTTAACGATTATATTAATATATATCAACGAAAAGTGGTTATGTGTTACACATGCATAAATGTCATGAGATGTAAGGAGAATATTCTAAATGTGAAGGAGTTCAAATGATTAAGTGACAAACATGAAGGGAATCAATGTATAATTTATTAATTTAATTTTAGGTGCACATTGATACAAATTTCTATCTTTGAATGTGCAAATTGAGATTTTTTATCTTTGGGATGCACATTGATACAAAGTTCTATCTTTGAGGGTGTAAATTGAGATTTTTGATCTTTGGGGGTGCACATTGATACAAATTTCTATCTTTGAGGGTGTAAATTGAGATTTTTGATCTTTGAAGGTACAAATTGAGATTCGAACAATCTTTCGGAGTGTAAAATGAGATTAACCCTTTATTTATTGAGGTTACATTTCATTTGTTTCAAAGAATCCAAAAATAAAATAATTGTTTCATTGGTTAAGAGAATATATATATATTTGGGTTTTTGAAAAGTCTGGGGGCAAACTAACCCCCCCCGGGTCTTAACTTAGCTCCGGCCCTGCTCAGAACCCTAACTCTCACTGTCCTCTCCTTGTTCTTCCCTACATTGCATTTCTCTAGGGGTGGCCACTTATCCGAATTATGATATTCTATTTTTTTATTTGATATTTTGTGCGAAATTTTTTTCTTAACTTATCCTACTCAATTAAGTGTACTATTTCTATCTGAATTCCATCCAAAACACTCACGTAAAAGTCAGTTGAACACATATTTTTAATTATTAACTTCTGGATCATTTGACAATTTAATTGAATAATCTGCACCAATTAACTAAACAATAAATTAATAACACTAAAGATAACACATTAAATTCAATAATACATAAACAATTATAATAAAACATAACAAAAAGTCATAAATATCAATATATCATAAATAAGAAAGCCATAAACATTAGTAAAACATTTAGGGTTTCTAGATTTGTGGATTTTAATTTTTAGGGATTAAGATATGTGTGTGTAGGTAGGATAGGGTACGAATACGAATACGAAAATTTTGTAGGTATTCCGTATTCATATCAGATTTTTTTCGTATTCGTAATACCAAAAAGTCTTTCGTTAGCCTACCTAATTCTTTCATGTAGTCGATCAATAAATTCGGATAGGATAAAATAGGATAGGGTAGGGTCGAAATTTGTGGATAATGGGAAATTTGAAAATCTCTACCTTTCTCTAGTTTTTTTTTTATCTAAAAAAAAATCTCAAAGGCCAAACCCCAGTATGGACGTAGACATGGAAAAATCAGCCCTTAAACCTAACAGGTAAGGGTACTGCTCACAAAAGCTCTACTAAAGTAAATCTTTCCACAAAAACAAGGATCCAGTTTTTTTTCCAGATTATTATGGAATCTCATGCTTTTTCATTCCTAATTCTCTTAACATGGATAGGACAGCTCTGCACAACTAAGTGTCAGGTGGGTACCACATGCTAGACAGAAGTAATGTGGGGATTTTGATACATTATATGCTAATATGCACTAACCCACCCACCCGTACACTATCAGTCTATCACACAAGGTCAGTAAGTTCACAATATTCACAAACAATCTCTCATCGCTTCCCTCTCATTCTTACACTATCAACTACATCAATTTGGAAAGAAAACTGGTTTTTATTTAGTAATGTTCCAAATAACTACACAATTTAGCAGGAAAGTTGAGGTAAAACATTCCAAATGCAGGTTTCAACGATTTTATTTTATCCTGGAGGTGAATTTACCATCCAACAACAAACAATTAAGGAGGTGCGAGATTATAATGTGTCTTAACAATGTTCCTCAAAGTGCACAGATTGCTCTTGACATTCATCATACTCAACCCGCTGTCCTAACAAGAACAATATAGGTGAATCCTTTAAAAGGCATTGTCTTCACCCTAATGATCTGGCATATTAAGAAACACAGTCCTTTTCCTTCCTGGATAGCAATTATTTCCAGTCAAACAAGCACCACTTCTAAAATAAGATTTTTTTAGGTCACTTGCCGATTTTGCTTGCTGCATACGGATGAAGTAGGATCCCCACAAAACATGGATGAAGTCTCATACAATCTCACAGATTATGGTCTCCATGAACGTTTTTCTCTGAGAAGAGATTAACAAAGGGCCTGAATTTAGTGATAAGTGCAAATAGGTGTAGTAACTATGCCTAGCCACATGAAAAAGATCATGGGTTAGGTGAAAATTTATGTGCACTCTGAAAATAAATTCTGGACATTGTTTGATGCCATTAATACTAGGTTTCATCATCAACCTGCCATAGAAACATCAAATAAGCAATGCAATTGTGCAAGTTGCAAACACCTTGATTATGGACAATACGATAAAGATGCCACTGCTGTTTAGAAAGGTGAAGCGGAAAAGCTAAGTTGAGTGCGTTATAAAAAAAATTGTACACGAGTATGTGTTCACATGAATAATTACTATACCACAAAAAGAAACAACAAAAGCAAGCCGCTGCAACAAATACCAAAACCTCCCAAAAGAGAGAGAGAGAGAGAGAGAGAGAGAGAGAGAGAGAGAGAGAAGACAAATAACATAATAAATATGAAAACAGAAACAAAAAAGGAAAGGTGGAAAGGAAAAGATGAAAGGGAAAAAATAAATTTACAGAGGAAACTCCTGAATTGAAATTACTGAAACATTGCATAATTGTATTTTCCATCCACATTAAAGCATGTTTATACTACTGTGTTGATTATTAGGGAAAGCATAAGGGACAGATTGGCTTCCCTGCAATTCTAAAGCTCAAGGCAAAACCTAGCTCAGGTGCAACAATGTTTACTCCCCCTGACAGCTGCATCAGATAAGTTCCAGAATTTGTTAAGGAAAAAGAACTCTAATGTTTCAAAATATTTGTTACATTTGCTTTGTTACTGTTTTTGGCCATCCTATGGAACGTATACCTGCTGTCAAACCACAGCATGACACAAGATTGTGTATTCATAGGAGTTACCTAACGTAAGTGACATAGGATATTGGGTGAAGTATTGGCCCACGGCCTATACTTCCCTCATAATTCGAATAACCTGTGTTAGATGTTTTTGTTCATGTCATATTGCCTACTGTTTGTACAGGCACGATTGTTGCTTGTAAAGCTTGTATTGAATCAATAAAACTATGTTTGCTGAAAAAAACGACAGTTTATGCTGGAAAAAATTGAACGGAACAAGGAAACGAATGAGGAAATTATTGATTGAAATAAATAAAACAATGCAACTTGTATTTTCCACCCACATTAAAGCAAGTTTATGCTCTCTCTCTCTAAGCTTAAGGCATAGAAATTGAAGGAAAAAAGAAACTGGAAAATAGGGATTTCATAAAAAATGACCACGGTGATGCGGATTTGCTAGTTCGTAGATGATAAAGGATATGATATAACAAAGTAATTAACAATCCAATTAGGGTTCATGACAAAACAATATGTGATGTAGGTAATCTAAATTTTATTAACAAGTGGCAGCAGCACAAGAAGATATAAAAGAAGAAACAATTAAAAAAAAAAGAAAAAAAATGCGAATTTACTGCTAGAACTAGTATTGATTTATTACTCTCAGATGATGATTGTGAAAACAAATGAACAAAGATCAAAGTGGGAAGGATGACCATAAAATAGAAGATTGAGGGAATTTACGAACCAGTACTTGCGCTCTCAGATGAACTCAGGAGCTCATCGAGCAGATCTGCTCCTAAATCTTCAAGTACCAAAACATTGTCAGAAATTTCAGAGATCCATGAGGCATTTCCTGCATTTAGGTCTTTCCCTTTCTTTCTCCTACCTCTTGACTTGCCTCTCATCTTATGTTTTTCCTTTAATTCTGCAGCTGGGGAATACCCATCCTTGTAGCTACACCTCATCTTCAAGTCTCGAAGCGACTCCTGAACTCTCTCCTTTGGGAAGTTGAGGAGAGCCAACTGGCCTCGCATCAAAAATGCAGCTTGATCATAAGCCAAAGCAGCCTCCTCAGCACTATCAAAAGTTCCAAGCCAAACCCTCATTCCTTGTCTTGTCGAATCCCTTATCTCGGCCGCGAACCTTCCCCATGGTCGCCTTCGAACTCCTATGTATTGCTTTTGCTTTAGATTCTCTTCTTTAGGTTTACCCATGGAGAGATCGATTTTCAGTGGTTTTGGGACATCCTCAGTGAAGATCTTGAATTGAAGGTTCTCCTTTGCTGGATCAAAAGTTAGCAAAGACCAGCTCATCCCAAGATGATGATGGCGACTCTGGAGAGAGTTCAACACTTGAATATTGAGGGGATGAAATATTTTTCTGCAAATTGATGACTTCTGAGGTTTGGACTTTATGCCATTGCTCTGTTGACAAAGCCCTCAATTGGGTCTAAATTCCCAAAAACAGGTATGACTTTGTCATGTTTCAACGAGTATGAAACGGGAAAATGGATTCCATTGAGCTAAATGGGAGATAAAGATCTTTGTCTAGGGGCAAACCTCAAAATCTAAATCTATATTCAGTGAAGCAATGGCAAGGTGGGTAGGGTACAGTGTGATGTCAGCCTTGTTCAAGTGGCTATTTTTCTAATGATTATTGAACTGAGGACGTGAGTTGTTAATCAAAACTCATCAGCACGAATTTGATTTGAATTCAGTTCGAATTTAGCTCGTCAAAACTCGGTTCGTTTTTTAAATGAATCTAAACTTAAATAAATTTTTAACTTCGTTTAAAAAATAAGTCATATAAGTTCGGCTCAAACTCAACATGCTCAACTTGTTTATGTGCAAATATTCTAGGTCAGTTCAAGCTTGACTTATTTTAGGTTCGACTCGTTTAATTTGAATAATTTTTTAAGTTCGGCTGGGACTTGTTCAAGTAACAGCCCTACTGAGGGCCCACGTAGGTTGAGTTTGTCATTTGAAAAACAGAAATATGATTTGATTATTAAACTGAGGACCCAGTATATGCATAGATTAGTTGAGACAGGAATTATCAAGCATTTCGAGTTGGCAATAAAACATGAGTATTGGTATTGAAATTTGAAAAATTTGTCTAATTTACTTGCAATGTGTTAAGTGATGAAGTCTTAATAAAAAAAATTCAAGAATTATAATCACAAAAATGTTACTGACCATATCACTGTCATATTATTAGATTAACAAATTAAGCTAAGTTTTTAAGTCCTAATAACATTATTCATAAAATATTACAGAAAAAAGAGATTAATTGAATATCTAGTTTTATCAACTTGATTAGAAAAATTATAGTTTCTTTAATTTTATCAAGCATGTCAACGCCTCGGGTCTATTTAGAGGACGCTAACAATACAAATACATTCTATCATAAAGTTATGGCCATTCAGAGCTTAGGCCAAGAATTTTATAGGAAATATTTTTCCCTGTCTACATAACAACATTCTTTTATCATTTTGGCCACCAATTATCTATACTATTAATTAAAGTATTTCAACATGAAAACTTTTGATTCATTATTTCTTTTTTATAAAAAATTATGAAGACCATCATATCTTTTTGTATTTAAATATATAAATTATAATTATATCTCTTTTTATGTAAATAAGAAACTAATCTCTAACATATCATGTAAATCTCTTTCTTTACAAAACTTTTGAATGGTTATGTTACGATTAACATGATCTATAAAAACTAATCCATTAAAGAGCAATATATTTCTTGCTAGAGTCTCAGATAATCAGAAGCTACAAATTATGGAGTGTTTTCAATACCCCATGGGCAATATACCAATTAGGTACCTGGGTATCCCTATCATCACCACAAAGTTGAGGATCAAGGAAAAAGCATTTGGACTGTCAAACCTCCACAAGTTTGTTCATGGAATTGGAGAAAATTATTGAAGTTAAGGGACTTTGCTATACCTTTCTTTCTTCATATCATTGGAGATAGGAGAGAAACATCACTCTGGTTTAATAATTGGCATCCTGCTGGACCACTAATGCTTAGATGGACACCTAGAATTTTGTATGATTCTGGCCTCAACAAGAATGCTAAAGTATGCCATATTATTCATGGCAATCAATGGAGATGGCCAAGGGCTAATGCTCGTAACAACTGAGAGTTGTTACAAATTGAAGCTTCAATGCCAACCTATTCCCCTAGGCCTGAAATGAAGGATGTGATTAAATGGCTGCCGACCCCTAATGGCTCCTTTTCCTCTGCTTCAGCCTTAGAGGAATTAAGGTATAATCAGCCTATGGTTCCCTGGCACAGGCTTCTATGGTTTTGCCAGTGTATACCAGAGATGAGCTTCATACTTTGGCTTGCTATTAGATGCAGGCTTTCAACCAAGGATCGCATTCATAGCTATATGCAAAGTGTGGATTTAACGTGTGTCTTGTGTAGAGTTGCTCCTGAAACTCACTGTCATTTATTCTTTAACTGCACTTATTCAGAAAGGATCTGGAAACTTGTTCTGGAGAAGTGCCATCAGCCTTGGCAACACTTACCTTGGCATGATTTTATCATCCAGTCTGCTAACAATTGGAAGGGGAAGAATTTTGCCACTGTGATCAAGAAAATCTGTCTTGCTGCAACTGTATACATGATATGGAATGAGATGAACCAAAGGATTTTCAAGAACCAGCAGGACCCTGTGACTGTCCACCAGATCATCATCAATACAGTCAAGAATAGATTAATGTCTCTGAAGATCAAGGATAATATTGAGAATAAAAGACTTGCTCAATCATGGCAACTGCCCATTTCTCTTTTGTCCATGATATAGACTCTAAGCTATAACATAGAATGCTTTTGGTTAAAATATTCGGAGAATACTGAAAGCTCTCAGCATTCTCCTCAGATTTTTTCTGTTTTGTTTATGTATGGAACTTGTCTTGCATGATTCAGGCAAACAAGTGATGCCTTTACTTGTATATTCTCATTGGTATCAATACACTTTTTACTTACCCAAAAAAAAAAACATGATATATAAAAATAATATTATTCTTTTTTTTTAAAACCCCAATATTAATACGTTAACATATCTATTGATATAATATCATCTTTAATACCTAAAAACAACTATATTTATATTATCTCTTCATTCAGAATCAAAATAATTTGACAAAAATTACTAATACACAAAGTAAAAACAAGAAAGACAAAAAGAAAAATCGAGAAAAGAAAAATTTATAAACATTACTACTTGGTAATTTGAATGAAATAATCATAAAATTGAATCAATTGGATGTTTATAGTTATGAAGAGAATACGAATAATTTAAGTATGATAAATATGAGATAATATCTAATGTAACTATATAATTAGCTTTTTTTTATGTATTTTATCAAATGTTTCAACAAAAATTTTCACATGCAACACACGTTATGCGTTGTTAGTTATACAAAGTGGGTAGAGATCATTCAAATGAAGGCGGTCAATCAAGCCAATATCATACGAATGATAAAAGAAAATATTGTGCACCGACCCAGCAGATAGTGACCAATTAAGGAACAATCTTTGTAGGTAACGAGTTCAAAAGATTTGCAGATGAGTATGGTTTCAACATAATCTGTACTACGCGCAAGGAAACGCCAAGCGAAATTCACCAACAATGTGATGAAGAGAATTATTGGAAATCTAAGGGAATAGCATGACAAACTATTGGAATACTATGATCATACAAAAACATCCAAATGGTCTAGCACCAAAATTACACCATTCAAACTGACGTATGGACACGACGCGGTTTTACTTATGAAAATTACCTTGAAATTGCTACCAGTAGCATTTTAGAATGGGTTAAGTCTAGCTAAATACAACGAATCCATGACAATCAAGCTTGAGGTTTTGGACGACGGGCGGCTGGATTCTTTGGATTGCATTAAGGTGGAAAAACTCTAAGCTGCCAGGGGCGTACAAAAGGGATCAGAAATAGGACTTTCGGCATAGGCAACCTAGTCTGAAAAGTAAAGTTGGCTTTGCAACTAAATGACTCGAGGATTGGCAAATGATCGACAACTGAGAAAAGCCAATTTATATCTAAATATGGAAATATTTTATACATCATATGTAATAGTTAAATATGATGTATACATATATTAAAAAATATATATATGGAAATAATATATATTTCAACACTCATAATTAATTTTTCATTAACATTTTTTCCCAATTAGAGGGATTAACTTTGGTGAGTTGAAAGAAAAATTAATTCATCCACTTTTATGTCATTCTTTTTCATATTTTTTTTCTTTATCAAACATGATTATTTATCCCTTCACGATCAGATCGACAGTTACAGTTGATCCTCGAACAACCTTAGCACGCTATGTTATTATCCAATTAATTAAAAAAAATTTACTTACATTCTTTCTAATTCATCAAATCTTCAAAGATACTCCCTGAATCTTCACTAATACCCCCTATAAGTGTGTGTAGAGTGCCGATGATAGTAGAAATATGTATTTTACCTTCATACCCCTATGTTTGAGATTGATTTACGTGCGACTGTGTTGTTCACTGTTATAACTTGGGAAAAATATAGTCTTTATTCTCGTACTCGCTTATAACTTGGGATCATGTCTTACAAATATTTGAAATATGTGGTGGCAAAGCATTTTTCGTTGTTGGTTGGGTTGATTTGCAGTGATGGGATGGGTAGCGGGTGCAAAAGAGGGAAAATAAAATGACAAGGTGATCTAGGGATTTTTGAGAAAACAAATGCAATATAATTTAAATAAAATTTTAAATTTTAAATTCAAATATATATTATTTTTTAGATGAAAGTGAGATAAAAGGGTCACACTAAAAAAATTGATGGACCTATTCGTATAAGGGGTCATATGCATTTATTTAGGTTACATTTTTTTGAATTTTATTTAAATCTTATAACATTATATTTTTTGAGAAAAATTTGCATGTGTTCAACACTTTTGCATTAGTCAGCAATGGTTAATCACCGTAAAGTGTGTAAATGATTCAGAATACATTAGAAGAGAGGTCAATAATACTATGTCTGGATTTGACCCGTGGGCTTTGTCTGTCTTGTCGGCCATTGAAAAAATTCTTCCAAGAGAGGGTGGTTAGCGCTGATCGTTGGTTTTTGTCGTGTTCCGTCGGCGGATATGCCCCACCTGGGTTTTCGCAACACGTTGGCAAATACTTTTTTTATTTTATTTTTAAAAGTAACATGATATCTATAGAAACTCGATTAAACCTCAAAATTTCCACCCGGTTCTTCTTAATCTTCTCTCTCTCCTTCCTCAACCATCAGGTTGTTTTATTTATTTTTTATTTTTTCCTTAAATCAGCTTGGAAGTTGGAACATATCAGGCCAATCGTTGGTCTTTATAGGTAATAATCCAAACCTTTTGATCTATTTTTTTTATTTTGTTTTCCTTTATTACTATTTCTAACATTTCATCTGTTTATTGACTTTTAATCCTATCCGCTTTTGGGTAAACTTATATTCATGTAAAAAAAAAAAAACTTATATTCTTGTTTAACTTCATTGTTGGATACCAATGAGTTTTTAAAGTCTCCTACTTAATTACAGTTATAAGTTTTTTGAATTGCT